TACCTTCCCCTTTTTCATACATTTATTAAACAAAAGTACCAACCACTCCAACTCTATATCCCCCCCTGCTTTTAACATTTCTGTTATGATCCCATCAGTTCCAGCTGCTTTACCCCCTTTCATTTTACGTAATGCCTCGCGTACCTCCCCCACACTTACATTCTGCTCTTCTTCACTCCTATATTACAGTATATTACAATATACGTACAGTAAATTGCTGCATAAATATTTAAAAATATATATACCAGAAATTTTATAAATGGTGCAAAGGTGACATTAAAGCAACATCAAAGTTGGCTGACGCAAATCCACTACAATATACATAGTATGCTCCTCACTTAGCGATAAATTTGTTTACTGATGTGGTCTTAGGAACGAAACTCCATCGTTAAGTTAGTCGAGGCTGTATTTAAATTACATTTGAGTACACTTCACTACCATTATTATCATCACAGTGGACCCTCGACCAACAATGGCATCGACTAATGATAATACAGACGATGTGTTTTTGCATAAAAATACTGGCTCGAACAACAATGAAAAACTCGGGTAAGGACATTCGTCCCGAACGCATCCGCCTGTCCGTCCAGCCTCAGCACGCCTTAGCTGCCCTGCCTTCAGCTAGCGTGCCATTGTTTACAAGCCAGTCTGGATGCTTTCAAGTGTACCTGCGATACATTGTGTATTATTCCAGTGTTTTTAGTGCTTGTAACTGCTAAATAAGCCACCATGGGCCCCAAGAAAGTTTCTAGTGCCATCCCTGTGGTAAAAAGGGTGAGAATTACTATGGAATTGAAGAAAGAGATAATTAATAAATTTGAAAGTGGAGTGCATGCCTCCAAGCTGGCCAGGTTCTAAAACAAACCCCAATAAACCATCGCTACTATCTTGGCAAACAAAGGCAATCAAGGAAGCTGTTGTTACGAAATGTGCAATTATGCTTTCAAAACAGAGATCACAAATATGTACTTGAAGATATGGAGAGACTGTTGTTGGTGTGGATAAACGAAAGAATTATCAGGAAATAGTGTTTCTCAGTCAATAATATGTGAAAAGGCAAAGCAGTTGCATGAAGATTTAATTAAAAAAAATGCCTGCAACTAGTGGTGATGTTAGTGAATTTAAGGCCAGCAAAGGTTGGTTTGAGAGATTTAAGAATCGTAGTGGCATACACATGTGATAAGGCATGGCGAGGCTGCCAGTTGTGACCAAAAAGCGGGTGAAAAATATGTGCAGGAATTCAAGGAGTACATAGACACTGAAAAATTAACAAGCGTTTAATTGTGACGAAACAGGCCGGTTTTGGAAGAAAATGCCAAATAGGACTTACATTACACAGGAGGAAAAAGCACTGCCAGGACACAAGCCTATGAAAGACAGGCTAATTCTAATGTTTTGTAGTAATGCTAGTGGGGATTGTAAAGTGAAGCCTCTACTCATGTATCACTCTGAAACTCCCAGTGTGTTCAAGAAAAACTGTGTCATCAAGGGTAATTTGCGTGTGATGTGGAGGGCAAACAGTAAGGCATGGGTCACTAGGGACATTTTCTATGATTGGTTCTATCATGTGTTTGGCCCCACTGTGAAAATTACCTCCTGGAAAATAAACTGGACTTCAAGTGCCTCCTGGTATTAGACAGTGCTCCTGCTCATCCTTCAGACTTGCCAGAGCAAATTGCAGGGGAGTCGAGTTTCATAAACGTGAAGTTCTTGCCTCCTAATACCACTCCTCTCCTCCAGAACATGGACCAAAGGTCATTTCAAATTTCAAAAAACTGTACACCAAAGCAGTGTTTCAAAAATGCTTTGAAGTGACCTCAGACACTGAAGTGACCTTAAGAGAGTTTTGGAAAGATCAATTTAGTATCCTCAGTTGCATAAACCTTATAGGTAAGGCTTGGGAGGGAGTGACTAACAGGACCTTGAACTCTGCTTGGAAAAAATTGTGGCCACAATGTGTACAAGAGGGATTTTGAAGGGTTCGGGGCTAACCCTCAGGAGCCTATGCCAGTTGTGGAATATATTGCGTCATTGGGGAAGTCCATGGGGTTGGAGGTTAGTGGGGAGGATGTGGAAGAGTTGGTGGAGGATGACAATGAAGAACTAACCACTTTGAGCTGCAAAAGCATCTTGAAGTTCCATATGACCAGTTGTGAGTCTGCTCCACATGTTGAGATAGCTTTACAACCCAACGTGTCACCTACATATATGGCAACACCAGTGATGGTGTTCTGATGAACAGTAGCCAGAGTAGTGTCCGACTGATTAGAACATGCTGGACGGTCAAGAGACTGGAACTTTCTCATGGCACTTAGACTGTCAGTCTCCTTTTTCTGGGCCACATCTAACTTAGTGACAAAGGTCAACTTGCCAGTGTCATCAACTGAGTACAACATAGGACAACACTCATGCCCCACTGCAACCAGTGAGTTAAGTGAGACCCGGGTGACAGAAGTAAGGGTAAGTACTCAGTTTTCAGCTGGGTTTTAGCCATTTCCTTGCCAGCAACAGCCACAGTGAGGCTTGAATCATGGCCGACCCAACACACTGTTACTATCACCAGAAAAACTGACTCTCTGCACCCATCCACCTCCTCCAGTAGAGTTAGAAAATTCCGTCATTAACTGGCCCAGAGGCATTTTTGCACCCCAGGGAGTTGGAGTTGGCTTGGGCTCAATGTCTTTAATCCATGCAGAAAATATGCACACCTTGAAATCAGGAGCTCCTGCAGCCAAAAGAATGTTATTGGGATGCCAGTCCAGGGTGGTGATAGTGAACCTGATGGGCTTCTTGAAGTGCTTTGATACCCACCAGTTATTTTCCTCCTCAAAGTAACACACCGATATCAGTCGTGCTCCTGATCCTACAGTAAACTCTTTTTCATTAGGAGACCACTTAACGTACGTGGCAGCACAGTTGATACGTACAAGTAGAAGAGTGGGACTCCATTTTCCATCTGCTCCACAAGTCCACACATAAGCATCTCGGTCCGCTCCACAAGTCACAATTCAGTTAGTGTTGGGAGCCCAGTCAATCCCTGTGACACGCAGGTCATGGCCCAGAAGTGTTTCTTGCAGTTTCCACTCTGATCCACACTGACCATATATATTCACCTCATTGTTGTCGAGGCTCAGTGCCACTTAGGTTTGGTCCTTGTTCCATGCATAACAGGTGATGGGTACAATGCCAAATTGAAACACTTGTCATGATGTATCACTTGGAGCAGGTGTACTGTAACACTAAATATGTCTTGATATTAGCTGACTCTGGTCAGTCTACGCTAACAACCTGGGAGCTACAACACTGTCTGTAGTTCAATGCCTCGTGTCTGTCTCTTTCTAAAAATTGGGACTACATTTGCCATCTTCCATACCTCAGGTAGTTACCCAGTTTCAATGGATGTGTTCAAGATCTTTGTTAGTGGCACACACAGCATCTCTGCTCCCTCTCTAAGGACCCACAGAGATGTTATCTGCTCCCACCATCTCATGTTGAGCTCCTCGCATACCTCTTGGTCATTTCTTGTGAACTCCCCACCTTCCTTCCTCAGCCTGATTACCTGGTCCTTGACTGTTGTTTTCCTACTGATGTGGCTATACAAGAGCTTCAGGTCAGACTTGACTTTTGATGCTAAGTCATTTTCATACTGTCGCTGAGCCTCCCTTCTTATCTGTGCATATTCATTTCTGGCTCTTGGACTGATCTCTATTTTCCTGGGTCCTTTGTCTTCTGTACTTTTTCCATACTCTAGTGCACCTAGTTTTTGCCTCCCTACACCTTTGGGTGAACCAAGGACTCGTTCTGGTCTTCCCATTATTTGTGCGCACGCGCACGGGCGCGGCGCGCGTATGCACACGCATGCAAGTGTGAAAATTTAAAAATCTACTATAATGACTATAATCTGATTTTTTAATCAAGTTTTCACAGCGAGATACAGGTAATGTAGACAGATGCTGCTGAGGGGCTAAATGTGGATGCTACAAAAAAATTTCGGGCCATTAATGCTGGGAACCCAGGTAATAGTTCTGTGAAGAAATGTGGGGAGAATAATGACATACAAATGAAGCAGCAAGTCAACTTCAAAAAGTACAGTGGTACTCCGAGTTTCAAACCGCTCCCAACTTGAACAATTATGCAAGTGTATTTGTGTAAGTGCACTTGTGTCTTTTTGGTGGTCTGAAACGGACTAATCTAATTTCCTTATGGGAACAAATTCGTTCGGTATTGGCACTCGAACAGCATTCTGGAATGAAGTAAGTTCGAAACTCGGGGTACCACTGTATTTGGAATAATTCAAGATCATAAACGTCTCAAGAATTCCTGCAGTTATACTGGTGTCTATGCACATTAAAGCAGTTCAAGATGTTCAATGTAATGCAGTAAGTACAAGTCTTGAGGAAATGAGAATGGATAGTCAGTCAGTCTGCTTTTGGAAGCCAAAAACTATTGAAATGGTACTCAACAGATAGTAGAACTCTTTAGAAAGTTTAAAAATTATTTGATGAGCTAAACATGAGACAGTATAGTAATAATTCTGTTCCTGTAATTACAAATGGGTATTACGACTGCATTTGTAGTTTTCTGCTCGGCAGGAAACACTACCCGCATCAACTTGTCTCTATGGTCACTATTATCTCATATTTCATGACTCCATTGCTTTATATGGTGCAAAAGCTAGAGATTCCATCATACCTGCTTGTTTTTTCATCACCACTCTCTAAAGTTCCAATAGGACAGGGGACTAATGATGGAAAGACCCAGCAAATAGGAGAAGGGTAGCAGAAAAAACACATAACAGGCAGGGTAGGCTTCAAAATAGATGAATGAAGCAAATTAGAAAAGGAATACCATAACAGACTTAAGAAAATGAATAAAAATAACTGACAAGAAGGAACACATTTCCAGGTTAGAATAAAAAAAAATAGAAACCAAGATTAGGAGACAGAAGAGACTATCCAACTATGGAATCCTTTTATAGACAAAAAATACTTCATACTTACGTGCAACTAAGCTGTCTGGTGGATATCTGAATGCAAATATCCAATCCTCCTCTACTTTCAGAATACGGCCTGTGATCCGAGCATAGTACTCATAGTTTGCCCGGCCAAACAGGTTGCTCACGCCAAAGTTGTCGATGAGGAACTGCATAATCTGGGTTGCCACCTATCGCCAAAAATAAGCCTTGGGATAGTAAATGATTTTTTTTAACTGTCTCGTTTGCAGATTATAGTATTATAACTACACACATTTGAAAACAAATATAAATCATATGTATACAATGTTGTTATTTTAAAAACTAAATTTTGAAAATTCTATATTATCTAAGAAATTATTTTCATACACAATACAGTACAACTATATACAGTATCTTACATTTAAAATTCTCTGCATATTCGAAAACAAAACTGTCAATTTGGATTATTATATTTAAAATAAGGGCTAAACTCATGGATCATACAGCATTGTGATGGTGCATTGTGAAAACTTGGAGGGGTTTGTGAAGAGTTAAAAAGTGCAAAACAAAAATCTTACTTGGAGCAGTGTATTAGAAAGTCAGAGTGTCTGCTTTAAAGGTGGGACTTTTGGCGAGAAGGGCAGCGAGATTGCATCTGGGTACTGTAAGTATCGAAAGAGCGTTCTGCGTGCTTTCCAACATACAAGACAGCTTAAGATCTAATGAACTGACAATGTGACCTGGCAGTCTGTTCTCACGGAAGAGCATATAGCATCTCTCCATGAGGTATCTGTGTATTGCATGTGCCTAATTCACAATCATGAGAATATAGTTTCCCACATATGACATTATTGGAAAGGACAATAGCCAGGAACCTAAGAGTGGTTTACTGGAGAATAGACTGTTCTGTGGGAGACTGGCAAGTTGTGACGAGTGGATCAAGCAGCCGAATCTGCCTGATTGTTACCCGATCAGTGTATCTACAGACCCAGCAAAAAACAATGTATGTTTGCTGGATATTCTGTATAGCCACTGCTGTATACAGAGTATTATAAGATGTGGGAATTGAATTCCTGGATAGCTGTGCAGTAACGAATGAAGGGGTGGCTGTGATTGTAATGTACGTATATGACTGCAATGAGTACTGCATCCAGCTCAGCTGTAAAAATGTTGGCTGACTAAGAAATGTCCCTGTATTACTCTATTAGGGAAAAAAGCTGAATACCTACCTCCCTTTGGGGATTTGCAGCCACTGGTATATGCTGCTGTAGCATATGAATGACTGAATGTGTATGAGGGAAAGACCAAGAGTTTGTAGCAAGAAAAGGGATTTTCGATAGTTAAGAGCTTCTGAAGAGGGAAGGGGAAAAATACAAAACAGTGTGGACATATAGGGATGGTCAAATAAAGGACATCACCAGAGTTCAAATACGGCTATTAAGCTTGCAATAAACGGGGTCAACACTAAAATAAATTAAACCCTTTCATTGTCACTTCCATAGAGCCATGTGACTGAGAGCAGTGTCACTTATGTAGATCTACATGTAAATCTTAGACCCTTTAAATTTGGAGCCAGAGGCATGATAGGCATAGGCATGAGAAAATGGGTGTGCATGGTCAGCATGTGCAGTATACCAAAAATCCAGGTAGCTGTAGTGCATGATGGGAATGCCATGCTGGCTCACAATTGTTTACCATGGTACACATAGCTGATACCTTTACTTCCAATTGCATTAAGTTGTTATTCAAGTGACAGTTCTAACATTGAGGATAAAGACTCCGGAACCGAGAAGTGTACTTTGAATCTGACGGAGAGTGACAAAGAGCACTGATAACTTTCAACACTACCTCAGGCGTCGGCGCACCCTCGGCACGCTACCTCAGGCGTCGGCGCACCCTCGGCACGCTACCTCAGGGTCGGCGCACCCTCGGCACGCTACCTCAGGCGTCGCTGCACCCTCGGCACGCTACCTCAGGCGTCGGCGCACCCTCGGCACGCTACCTCAGGCGTCGGCGCACCCTCGGCACGCTACCTCAGGCATCGGCGCACCCTCGGCACGCTACCTCAGGCGTCGGAGCATCCTCGGCACGCTACCTCAGGCGTCAGCGCCCCCTCGGCACGCTACCTCAGGCGTCGGCGCACCCTTGGCACGCTACCTCAGGCATTGGCGCACCCTCGGCACGCTACCTCAGGCGTCGGCGCACCCTCGGCACGCTACCTCAGGCGTCGGCACACCCTCGGCACGCTACCTCAGGCGTCGGCGCACTCTCGGCACGCTACCTCAGGTGTCAGCACATCCTCAGCACGCTACCTCAGGTGTCAGCACATCCTCAGCACGCTACCTCAGGTGTCAGCGCATCCTCAATGCATCCATAGCATAAGCAAAAACTGACATTCTCTTGTGGTTTGGGAACAAGTCTGAGTAGTAATTATGACAGTAGTGGCACTGATGATGATATAGGTGATAATGACAATGATTATTTGTCTGTGAAGTGTCAATTTAGTGTTGCCTGCAGTCTGGTAGTGTGCCTAGGGCTATCCTCAAGGGACATGGTAGGTCATGGAACTTACGTGTCTTGGTGGTGCTTCCACTGGCATGGGTAGCAGAACACCTGCAATGCCAGCCAGGCATGTGGTACTGGGACAAAGATGCACATGGCACCAGCACCTGCCCTGGGAGGGAGCCTTGTCCAATACCCCCCACCCCCCACCACCATCAATCGTACAAATTCAAAAACCATCAGACCGCATCTGGGATTAGTAAAAAGATGCAAACTTTGTGAGAAATCTCCAGTCTGATAAAACATTAGCACTGTCTAATTGTACTTGATTTCTTCGAACTATTTCAATAAACTAATGAAAATGATACTCAAACCAACAGTTACTACCAATATACAATGGCAAAAGTGTAAATTTAAGCATGGTTATGACATTGCAAGTGGAAAGACAGCCATGGCTCAGACATCTCTCTCTCCTATAATCATGCTTATGCCACACATGTATAAGCAGAGTATTGCAAGATAGTGATCACAAAGACCACCTAATATTTACCCCGGCATTCAGTGATCTCATTATCAACAGATTTGTCCAGCTGCTGTGTATGCTGAACTTTTCAGGCAAAAGTAATAACAGGAATGACATGTTATGCAAGATTAGGTCAGCGAGTTCTTTCATCTCTTCCAGAACCCTGTCATTGACGAGTCTTTGGTCCTGTTCCAAGATTATCACTTGAGCAATATATACTAAGCAAGAGAAAACAGTTTTGTGTCACTGTGAGAGTGGCTGTACACAAGAAAGAAAACACTGGAAGATGCCACAAAGTTATTTGGACTCTTGGGTGCTGTGATGTGGAAAATTATGGTACCATATACTATTATGCAGTGATAACTTGCAGAGAGGAGAGAATGGAGCGAAACAGAATAACTTCAAGAGTGTATCAGTCTGTAGTGGAAGGAAGGCGGGGTAGGGGGCGGCCTAGGAAAGGTTGGAGGGAGGGGGTAAAGGAGGTTTTGTGTGCGAGGGGCTTGGACTTCCAGCAGGCATGCGTGAGCGTGTTTGATAGAAGTGAATGGAGACAAATGGTTTTTAATACTTGACGTGCTGTTGGAGTGTGAGCAAAGTAACATTTATGAAGGGGTTCAGGGAAACCGGCAGGCCGGACTCGAGTCCTGGAGATGGGAAGTACAGTGCCTGCACTCTGAAGGAGGGGTGTTAATGTTGCAGTTTAAAAACTGTAGTGTAAAGCACCCTTCTGGCAAGACAGTGATGGAGTGAATGATGGTGAAAGTTTTTCTTTTTCGGGCCACCCTGCCTTGGTGGGAATCGGTCGGTGTGATGATAAAAAAAAAAAAAAAAAAAAAAAAAAAAACTTGCACAAGCCCTTTTCTTTGTGATTTTCTGCAAATGAACAAGACAGATGTATGTGGTACTGTGTGTGGAACAGGAAAATATGCCCAAGTTAAATGCAAGCAGTGGTGGTGATCAATACAGGTGTTTCATGCTAATGATATGGCATTCCAGTGGCATGACAAATTTTATGTGACACTGTTGACATCCATCCACTAGAATGAAATGAAATGGAGAAGCAGATGAACTCATTGAGAGATCAGCTGCTGTTATATATTACACCAATAAAATGGATCTGATCGTCCATATGACACACTGACTGGATATACTGATTGTGCATGAAAGTTTAAAGTTATACATATAGCTATTTTTCTATTCTGCAGACATTGCAACACTGAATGCCTACAATATATACATCAACACTGGAAACAGACCAATAAATGCCAACATTTCTGTGTCATCAAACAAATACCAGTAATATGGAAATACCAAGTTATACCACTGGCACTGCTATACTGATGACCAAATACCCTCTCATTTGAGGCATGGTAATAATTTTCTAACTCCACTTCCTCTTACTGACAAAAAGAAATGGGCTCAAAAGGTGTGTGCACCCATTTCTAAGAAAATGGTGGTTAAAATTGTAATTAGAGGTGGTGGTGGGTGTTACGGATGGTAGGTCACTCACATGGCAAGTGTAATGCACAATTACGGTAGAACCTTGGTTTTTGAATGCCCTAGTTTGTATGTAAAACAAGTTTTTTTTTTTAATGTCAGCTGTCTCTCACTGAGGCAGGGTGACCCTAAAAGAAAATACTTTCATCATTCATTAAAAATATTCCGGAAGGTACCACTGTCCTACCAAGTGAGTGTAAAAAGGAAGCCTGTATTTGTTTTACATGATGGTAGAATTGCTGGTGTCTTTTCTGTCTCAAACATGCAAGATTTCAGGTATGTCTTGCTACTTCTACTTACACTTAGGTCACACAACACATACCTGTACACATTTATGTATACACACACATCTTAGTTTTCCTTGATTTTATCTTAATAGTTCTTGTTCTTAGTGCTTTTCATTTCATATCTATGGGGAAGTGGAATAAGACTTTCTTCCATAAGCCATGAATGCTGTAAAAGTCAACTAAAATGCCAGGAACAATGGGCTAGTAACCACTTTTCCCATACAGTTTACTAATAAGAAAACCATAGTTATTCTCTAAAAAAGTGTGTTTTTTGTTAGTACTTTTTTGGTGTCTAGAACAGATTAATTGAATTTACATTATTTCTTATTGGAAATATTAACAAAAAATACATTTTACAGATAACTATGGTTTTACATACAAACTAGGGCATACAAAAATC